AGTCTCTTTCATAAGTAGCCTCTTCTTGCTCAGAGTTTCGAATTTTGTACTTATAGTTTATGTTTTGATCACCTGCATGCAATACCTTGAAATCTTTTAATGTAACCGTCATCTGCCAGGTGTTTGCCCAGCAGTGAATATGAGCTAAATGTTTTGAAATTTCATTTACTAATCCTCCTAATCTGAAAACTTTACTAGTTTTAACCCTCTATTCCCAAGTCTAGATTAATTATATAAATTAAGTACAACAGTACAGATCTAGTACAGTACTGATTGTCTTAGTACAGATCTCTGTGTATTCATCCATCACCCTGATATGTAAAATGTTTTCTGTTTTATAACTAATTCTCTCTCCAAACACTTATGTTTTTCCTCGAATGAATACTGCCTACACGTTGACAGTTGAGAATTGTACTTTATGATAAGCCTTTGGAATACCTAAATATACCATATCAAATGCTCTATGTTTATCCTTGCAGTGACTTCTTATTTAACTGTAACATTCGTGTTAGTGGTAGCTAACGCTGTTTCTAAACATTGTATAAACAGAATATATTAAAAACATATCAATAGAAGGACATAAATGTGATAGTAACTAACTTCTATTGTATATTAATTGCATGTTAGTAACAAAGCACTAATCATGGCCACAGCCTAACCAACACCCCTAATACTTGCCCTTGGGGCTATTTGCTGTAGGTTGTTCCATCTATAATGCTTTTATAAATGTACTGTCAGCTGGTTCTTTATCCATTTATAAAGTGTAATTCTCTTGAACAAAAGGGTGGATGTTATATCCATCACTCAGCCCTGATATACCTTGGTTGGCAAAAGAAGGGCCCATAAAATATGCCAGCAGCCATATCATCTTGCAACTCACAACTGGCAACCCACTGAAGCTAAGCAGGTGTGAGCCTGGTCAGTACCTGGATGGAGACCTCCTGGGAAAAACTAAGGTTGCTGCTGGAAGAGGTGTTAGTGGGGCCAGCAGGGGGCGCTCATTAGGATTAGGGGTCCTAATGCCCCAGTATAGTGACAGGGACACTATACTGTTAAAACGCACCATCCTTTGAATGGACATAAAACTGAGATCCTGACACTCTGTGGTCATTAAAAATCCCAGGGCATTTCTTGAAAAGATTAGGGGCTTTACCCCGGCGTCCTGGCCAAATTTCCCATTGGCCCTTACCAATCATGGCCTCCTAATAATCCTTACCTATGAACTGGCTTCAATACTCTGCTCTCCTCCCCACTGATAGGTGATGTGTGGTGAGCGTTCTGGCGCACTATGGCTGCCATCGCATCATCCAGGTGGATGCTGCATATTGGTGGTGGTGGAGGGGAGTCCCTATTACCTGTAAAGCACTTTGAGTGGAGTGTCCAGAAAATGAATTTATATAAGTATAAGCCATAATAATAATAATAATAATAATTATTAATAATAATAATAATAATAAATATTATTATTATAAAAGCCAGAGAGAATGAACACACAGGGATGTGAAACACAAGAACAGGAAAAAGACCACTGTTGCATTGTCATTGTTGCTGAGGCTATCCTCAGACTTGGCAGTGATGTTGCCAATGGTTTCTGATCGAGGAAAAGAAAAGCATGAAGAACGTAATCTTGATTCTGTTTAAAAAATATTATACAATCATAAGTTTTTATTTTTAAACCCCATCATTTTGCTTCAATGCTTGCTTCCTTCCTGTGTGCTACATCATTAGTGTAGAAGATAGATTTATGTCAATGTGTTGCAGTGGCAGCGGTGTGCAGATCTCAGTAAGATGCCACATTCCACTGTCAATCCATATCGAAGCACTGTGGCTTTCCTACTGCTCTCTCATTCTGGCTCAAGTCCCGCTGCTCTCCCGTGGTTAAAATGGAAAATGTACACAAGGCGTTGGCAAAGACATTCATCAAGACCTTGGATCGTTTTCTCAAGGGTGAGGCTTAATAGTGTGCGCCAGGTTTGGGTTGCATATGATCCAGAAAAAAAACCTGGAAGCTCAAGGTCTGTGGGCTGTTCTTTTATGAAATGGAAAATTAAAAAAGTATGCAGTTCCACGTGTATTAGACATGCATTCAAATTCACATTGCAGGACAAGAATAGCTATGTTCATTCCTAACTTGGGAAACTGCTGTGCTAACCCTGGGCATTATGACAGGGTTAGTAACTTATGCAAATAAACAGATTTGTAAGAAGACAGTAGGTGCAAACAAGAGGGTGGATGTTGTCGGGACTGCATTCCCCAGAAGGTCATGAGCTACATCCTGATATCTTATTCAGTTGAATACGATTGGTCAGTTGGTGCGTTAATGAACCTGGAAGTGGAGGATTCCATGAGCTGTGTATCTATTTTCTGGTAAACATCATTAACAGTAGCACGGGGGTCTCCAACCTTGGCTCTAGAGCATTTTGTAAACCCTGGTATATTGATGGGCAATTAGTATTTTCCTTGTATCCATTTAAGTAGTTCAATGATGTTATCAAACTGTGAACATTGCATGGTGTGTTGTATGATGTGTTCATTTTTAGATGGGATGGAGTAGGGTGTATAAAAGATAACAAAACCGCAGGAGTTTGGAAGTCTCTCTGATATTTGTGTATCAGCTTATCGAAACACAAGGCCTCACTAACAGCTGCACTTCCATCTTCTACAGTAGTCTGATATTTCAGATCTCAGAAGCTAAGTGAGCTGGGCCAGGTCAGTAGTGGGATGGAACACCACTAGGGAAAATCAGGTTGCTGCTGTAACTTGGTGGACCAGTAGGGATTGCTTTATCCACTGGACCAAAATTTCCAAACCAGGACCCCAGTACAGTGACGGGGGACACTATGCTGTAGAGGATGCTGTCCTCTGGATGAAATGTTAAACTGAAGTCATGAGTATGAGTTGTGTCCTGGGTTTGCACAATCTGGCCTTGCTTAAGTTCCCTTTTGAGTCAGTCGGTCAAATAAATTCTTACTCCTCCTAATCTGCTTTGTAGTAGCAGATAGTAGTCGAGTGTAGTAGAATACTGCATGTCATGCAGATCTTCTGGGATGAACAGTGCTGTATAAACACAAGGAATTATCATTATACTGTTTTTTTAAACCTAGCCAAAACATTTGGCAGACAATGTTGAGACATACTTGGCGGTATTTGTCTGAACTAAGTGACAGTGAATTGAAAAATGAACATCCCAGTGCACTAATTTCCTGTGCAGTTATAATATAAAAAAGACTGTAAAGAGGTTAATGTATACTCTTATCTCTGTTTCATGTAGTTAACCTTCACATCACTTTGCTCCGATGCCACCTTGTTTCAGCTCAGGTGATGTCCATGGTCTGATCACAGCAGCTGAAATGCCAGGCGTTATTGTTGGCAGTCTCAGTCTTCTTGCCTTCATCCTAGTTAATCTAGCAAAGCGGTGTTTTGCTTGGCAGCTCTCATGGAATATTCTCCCCTAGCTTGGAAAAAGCGAGGTCTGGGAAGCACAAGAAAGAGTTTCCTCTGTTATGCTATCATGGTCTCAAGGGTCTGGTTTCCAGATCAACCAGAGTTGCACCAGAGTTTAGAGCTGAGTGGGGGCTATGGCAGCTGTGAAAGCCCTGTCCATTGTGGTAATTGAATGGTACTGCAGCACATATCTCACAGCATGTACAGTATGGAGCAGTGGCCTATATGGAAAAGATGGTCTCCCTGCTATACACATGATTGTATCCCACAAGTCTGTCCAAAATGCAGCCATTCCTTCAAATCACTAGCTTGTTCTGTATATAAAGTTTATGTAAGGTATAATCAACTCTAGAGTGTTGAGTCGGCAATGTACATTTCTTTATATTTTACCCATTCAGCCCTTTCTGATTTGTTCATTCTTGGGAAAAAAGCACTTGTTTAACATTTCAAATTTAACCCTGGAACCGAAACATTTTCTTTGAGTCTCTACTCTTTTCTATTGCCTGGGCAATTACAATTTAATTTGTGATGAAAAGCGAAAACTAGTGAATTGCAGGAAATAGCTTTGTAAATGGGCCTCCGCTTGTGAAAGGAATGTTTTTCTTGCAGGCTGTGGTACGGCCCTGGAGGTCAAGAGTTTTCTGAGACATGTAGCTTAGCCGGTTTTGAACTGACACGTTAACAGCTGTTGAAACTGTGCACTTGTTCTGTCAGGTGCATGGTAGCACAAACATTAGCAAAAATTAACGCTCCCCCTGAATATTTCACACAGTATGAGACCTTGAACTAGGGAGCGAAATGATAAATACTTCAGAAGTCTACCATTTGCATAGGCATTGCACTGCTAATATTTTAGTTCATACATACTGTAGCAAGTTCTTATTTTTGAGTAGGCCTTCGTGGCCTGAATGGTGAAATGTCCTATAGTACTTCTAAAGTTATTTTATTTGCTGTGCACACAACAGAGTAACAACAGAGTAACCAGTAACTCCGCAAGTCAAAGTCAGTCAGTAGAACATAATGCAGATGTGCACATGGAGATGTAGGTCTTATTTGACAGCAGTTTAAATGGCAGTGGTGATGGCTTTCCCTTGTTAACAGGGCTTTTAGCTGACATGCTAATCAAAAGAAGCGAATTGAATTGTTGGCTCGTTAGTATGTAAGTTGCTTTGTATCCGATGTCAGCTAGGCCATTTAAAATAAGATGGGCAGACAGAGACTAGTTGTTCGGCTATAGACAGCTATTGACCTCTGAAAAACAGATTTGTGTCAGTTATTTTCTTATCCAGTCTTACTCTTGTAGCATACAGGGTGTACTGCAAGATAAAGCATTATGCATAAAAATGACTAAGAGTGAGGATGCCCATCACTCATTGTAAGATGATATTTGTTGAATTGAGCTGTGCGTGACAAAATGCAACATGACCTTCGGAAAGTTAGCACAAATGGAAAGTTAACAGTGGGGAAAAAAGAAACATTTTCTTATTTTGGACTCTCCAAAAATGTTGCAATCGCTCTTTTGAGCAATAAAAGGTGCTGTAATAAAAACAAACCCAAAAGGTGTAGAAACTTTAATTGGGATTAAAAAGACAAAAGCAGACATTAACCGGGCAATCAAAATTAAGCCCAGAATTCTTCAAGCCACACTTTACATTACTTATAACTATAAAGCACAAATACAATTTTTTAGAGTCTCTACCCTGTCAGCTAAATGTTCTTAGGCCCATTTTAATAGGTACACATTTTAATTTAAGAAATACAAGAATGGCTGTGAATTAAAGTCCAGGTAAAAACAATCATTTTCACCCAGGCAAAACGTATGTCAATACCTTTTTCTAGCAACAATCCGTAAAATACTCTTGTAAACCCAGCTCTCCAGTTTCACCCCAAACCAGAACAGGTAGTCTGCACCTAAAGCTACTGTCAGCTGTTTTCAGCATCTAGGGAGCACTGTGCTCGCCTGGGGAAGAAAAAAAAAACATGCCAGCCTTAAATTCAAAGCTGCATTCTTCATGAAAAGAATAGTCGTATTGTCGGTCTGGTAGTCTTGAAAAGTCAGACTATATGCAGGAAACCAGCCAGCACAGCGCACCAAAATGAGATAAATCTGAATTTAGACCTGTCAAGATAATCTGGATTCCAGCTTTGCAGTCAAATGCATTTACAAATTGCCCGGCCAATGTTTTCGGATAGACCTTTTTCATGCTATGCTCATTTTCTTTTCTTTTCTCTTCTTTTCTTTCTGTCTTTTTGAACTTTGACAAATTAGTTAATTTGTGCCGAGGCAGCCTAGGCCTGAAAAACTCATGCAGTAAGCTGTCATTCGCGTACTGTTATTATTTAATAAGCCAGTGTGGTAATACACTGAAAGGTGAGGGGGCCAAAGTACACAGAACTATCCTGGTAGACCTTCGTATGAAGTCATTAAATATTTATTTCTTAGTACTGCTTCCTGCTGCTGGAAAGGCTTTCCAGAAACAGCAGGAAATGAACATGCACTGAGCGCAGACAGACCATAGGGGGGAGCTGGAGAGCTGTGTGCTGGACTGTGAGGTGCTGAGGCTGTTAAGGCTGAGCTTCTGTGCTGGGCTCCTTGTCGTAGATATAACTCCCGACTCCACCCGTGTTCACCCCTGTAAAAGACAAGCGGGGCCCCTCAGATCACAGCTCAGACGGTAAAGCAGGGTAGTTTTCAACTCAAGTACTGTAATTCACTCTGTCCCGAACAAGTGCCTAAATACAACTCATTGCTCCGAATTAAAGGTTGTGTTTCCAGGCTGTGTATATCACAGTGCATTCGGAGAAATGGTCTTTGTCACAGATGTACTACACAGATTATAAATTCATTTTAGACAGTCATACAACCAGATGGAAAATTGGTGTTTTAAACATCTCATTATTGGTTACACGTGATACAGCTGCTTAAATCCTGTTAACCAAACATCTTGAACTGTTCTGAAAACAGTTGTGCTCACTCCAGAGCTCCTGTCCAATGTGGATGTAGCTTAAACCTGGAACTAGCTCCACCTAGTGGACTGTATACCACTGTATTTAATCGAGGCCTGCAGCCCATCTACAACTAATACGTTTTCATAATCTCCGCTCATACAACCTCCTACAACCTTTACTGCCATATCCTGCCCTTCCATGGTTTGTCTGGTGCATTTGTAATAAGTACTGTACCTTTAGGCCCAAACAGGACTGCATAGCAGGGCTTGTGGCAGTAAGGTTGTCCGTCATGCTGTGAAAGAGAATGAATAAATGTCAAATCAACAGTACAAAGGACATGGGCTAAACCTTGCCAAAGCAATTCCATTTCTGAGCATTTGTGTGGCAGAAGAGTGTGGACTGGTACCACTGGTACCTTGATGGTCTTCAGTGGTATAATTAGGCCATTCAGAATGGCTAATCAGAAGAGCCTTTAACTTTCAGGCACATACAGTATACTGAAGAGGTGGCTGCAGATGACCAGTTTTTGTACAGTAGGTCAAAGAGATGGAGTTACTAGAGAGGGTCAGGGTGATCGTGAAGCTGCAGACGATGAGAGAGGATAAGAAGAGCGAGCTGGCTTATGAATTGGAGAATGTGAAACTCCTCCATGACTCTCCGCTGCTGAGAATGGGTTTCTACAACTGTCTTAGTGGGAAAACAATACCGAGGGCCTCAGCCCCCTCCGCACACACCTCCGCGTGGCTGCCCGGAGCCAGGGTCTTGCTGCAGCGCTCGCAGCGGAGACACGGGCGATGCCAGTCCTTCCCCAGGGACGTCACCTTCTCCGCTGGAAGAGAGACACCCACACATCAGCCGGCACCCCGCTCCGCTCCCTCCTCTCCCTCACAAGCTGTCCGCTTGTGCAAAATGCCCCGGACTATAAACAGAGGCACTGTCTTTCGCACGGTGCCCTGCTTACATACAGTACTCTTTTATTTCGGGGAATCAAACTGGTTTCTCGACTCACAAAGACAAAAGCTAGGGTTCGCATACACCTCAGCTAAGAAGCACAGCCCAGTCTAGGTGGGATATTGTAACAGCACCTGATGTCTCATTTGTTTCCGTTGTATTTTATAGGAAATGGGCAAGTGCAAGATTTAATATAATTTTCAGTACAGATTGAAATGTTGTCCCTTCCACCTTCTCAGGCTATTTTTTTCAATTGCTGCTTAAGATATGATAATTTCCCACATTACTTCTATTTCTAAGGTAAGACATTGATATAGTCTATGTATAGTATATATATCCCCAATTTATGTATTCAATTTTCTGTTCATAGTTTTTATCTTGTGTTGCTATGTTAAGTGGTTGAAGATCCAAGAAGGTATCACCATAATGTTATAATGAATTACTTGTTGCAATGTTACACTTGTTGCTATATTACCCAGCAACTCACAACTGCAAGCTCACTGAAGCTAATCAGGAGTGAGCCTGGACAGTGCCTATCTGGGAGACCTCCTGGGAAAACTAAGTTTGCTGCTGAAAGTGGTGTTAGTGAGGCCAGCAGGGGGCCCTTTGTGGGCATTAAAAATCCAAGGGCATTTTACCAACCATGACCTCCTAATATCCCCATCTCTGAACTGGCTCCATCACTCTGTTCTCTTCCCCACTGATAGCTGGTGTGTGGTGAGAGTACTGGTGCACTATGGCTGCCGTCGCATCATCCAGGTGGGGGGTGCACACTGGTGGTGGTGGTGGAGGAGAGTCCCCATTACCTGTATAGCGCTTTGAGTGGAGTGTCCAGAAAAGTGCCATCTTATTATTATTATTGTAAGACTAGACTTCAGTTCGTTTAGGATGCATTTCACAACAAACCCAGAAGAGGGCAGTAAAAGTATACAGTAGATGAATCCTTGTGATGTTGCTACCAGAAAGTCGTCTACTGACAGCTTCCTGAGTCTGTAATTTTTGTTTAATTAGCTTAATGGCATTTTAAAGAGCGGCTTGAAACAAAACAACTCTGAAAAGACATTTCACCTCAAGTACAGTATCTATTCCAAGGGGATGTTTCATGATGGGGGGAAAAAACAACTTTGCATATGCACTATGACTAGTGTGTAAAAGCCTGGTAAAAGTTCAGACAGATATGGATCTGCACTTAAACTACTGGAAAATCATGAGAGCTCTGGGCCCTCAAGGGATCACTTTTTCTGCATCCACTATGTCTCTAGGAAAATAACCATGGTTAGCCTCTGCTATTGCACAGTGACGCAGTTTCTGATTTAGGTCACCAGAAGAAAATCAATTACCCAGTTTTAAAAGCCACCAATGTAAACTATATAAGAGCCCTAATGATGCAATGCTTTCCGGTTTCTCCCCAGTCAGCTGTGATACTGATCAAATAGAAATTTTCGTAGGTTTAAACTGGAACAGATACCCACAATGAGTAATACAGAGTAATTGGCTGACTTTCAGGCTAACAAAACTTACCAAAATACACCTTCTTGTTGCACCTGGGACACATGTTGGGCTCCCCAGAGAAAGTGGTGATGCTTGCCGCTTTAAAAAAAAAAGGAAAGTGTTTATTTATCATTTGGAAAGCCTGCACAAGAGAATGGTGTCAATAGGTTTGAGCAGAAATGGTGTATTTCAATAATTTTTTTATTATCATCAATAATAGTTTTTATTTTGTATTGTTATGTAACACACTAAAAAAATCACAATTGTGTATTTTAGTAGCCTTTATTAACACCAAAAGTGGAGGTGTAATAATTTTACGATATTAAATGTTACATATCTCAAAGTTGTATGTCTTCAACTGTGTATTTATTGAAAACCTGACACTGAAGACTGATGAAGGATGCTTTTTTTAGAAAAAAAGGATATTTCACTAATTCATATAGTACGTAAAAAATCTGTTTTAATGAGAATACCATTTGTGATGTGACAGTAGAAACCCACAATGATAAGATTCTGAGTTATTGAGGTTAGTATGTGAAACTATAAGAAAATCTGATTTTTACACCTTGTATCATTAAGTTTTTTAATTCTTTATTCTTATAATAGCTTATCATCTGCTGCCTATTTTCTGCGTGTGGCAGTTTAAAAGTCAAAAGATCTGAAAGACAAGGTGAACTATAGGACAATGAAAACTCATCACTAGGAATGCTCTGTTTGCTCTTCAAGAGTGCAGTACTGTGGTCTGTAGCAAGCTGTTAGTGTGGTGTACAGCTCTATTAACACTGACATTTTGTAGTTGTGTCAGTTGTGTCATGAATTAAAAGCAGACTTTTTCCAAGGTGTCCTGTGTGTTAATAAGTGCTTCAACCTCGATTATACAAATATAAAACATATTGGTATTAGTTATGAAATAGAAAAAAATGCGCATCTTACAGTCTTTCACTTCTTCACCTGTTAAAATAGAAATAAGGCAGTTTGATTTAGTCCGTGGGAAAAGTTCTGCTACGCCCTGGTGTTGCAAGGAAGATGGAGAAATGAATTCACAGTTCAGGCCGAACGCCACAGCAGCAGAGCTGTCAGGAGACAGCACAGGGCTTTTATTATAAGATAACTAACAACAATCTGTGGGCCAGAACACAGGAATGTTATTGAACGGCAGTTGGCCGGACCGTATCAGACAGGAAAATTGGATTTTCTATCTATAGGGACAGGAGGGTTTCCAATACTCTGAAGGCCAGGAAAAAGCATGCAGTAAGCTTCCTGAGGAAAGATGAGAAAACGCAGGATGAAATCCTGGCTAAACACTTAGGTTCTTATCAAACTGCTGAGGCTCCTTATCACAGCTTTGAACTGTAGATTTAAGTGACAGAAACTCTTGAGACTTCTAGATCTCTGTTTAATTTCATGTGGGTGTCAGATACTTCTTTCCTGCACACAAAACCATTCTATACTCTCTCTTGTCCTGCGAAGTAGCACGGAAGGGTAAACTGTGACCTTTAACCCCAGTGTACTGATGTTACCTTTCACAGGGCCTCTGGGAGGTGCAGACGCCTTCTTCTCCTCAGTTTTGGGGGCGCTTTCCTCCGGAGCGCTTGCTGGAGGCGGGTTGGATGGGGCATCGTAGATGTACGACCCAGCACCTCCAATATTGACACCTAAAACAAAAAGATTAGCTCAATGTGCTTTAGGATTGCTAAATGGGTTTAATTAGCGCTAAGAACATGAAAAGTTCTCTTGGTTTTTCTAACAATTTGTTAAATGTAGACCTTCTAAAATAAAGAAGTTCAAAGTCTTTCTCCCAACGGTATTTGCATCCACATAATATACACCACATACTGTAGCATCTACCACATTTTATATAATTCCTTTTAAGTATATATTGTGACAGAGTAAAACAGGAACAATAATAGTAAAATGTGCTTGCTGGGATCCACAGTGATTCAACCAGTAAAAGTGCTCTCTCATGACCCAGATGGAGCTATTTGGCCCAGAAGTCATATGTTCAACACTGCTTACCTGTGTTGGGGACTCCTTGAGTGGGCAGATGAGTGTCAAATTCCTCATAGCAAGACAGAGACTCATGCAGCGATGTCAGAGAGAGCTGTACTGCTCCTCTAATGAGCACTAGCTGAGCTTGCAGCCTGGCCACAGCTCCTTATTCTCCCCTCACGGATACCACAGCTCTTACTAGAGTTCTTCAACTATCAGTGCTTCCAGATTGGGGTAACATCAAATAAGAAAAATTGAAATTGGAGATTCCAATATTTTTACATGAAAGATAGGCTGCTTGCCTACTGGCCCCTCCATGAAGCCAAAGCAATTACGCACTTTATTTGTGCTTTGTCTTTTGCAAGAAGACAATTAAAAATAATTATGAAGCACAGGCCTACCGTACATGTTACATTTTTCACACCTTAACACTCTAAACTTCTGTTTGGATTCCATATATGTGGGATCAATTTATTCCCAGTGCAACCAGTATTAGAGAAACTGAAGAACAACAGGCCAATGGCTCTTCTTATGTGTGGTTTCAGCTGTGGGATCAGGAATTTTGCAACTTTGCTGTTTGAGCTCTAGCAATATTTGCTTCTAGATGCTAAACCAGCTAGTGACAATAGTCTTCATGTGTACTGAGCTTTTAGCCCTGCTCCTTCACTAAAAAAATAGGTACAAGGCATATGAGATCTCCTTTCTTGCAGGACACATTTTTCTTCTTAAATTGTCAAAGTCTACAAGAAGCTGGGATGAGGTGGAGAGACACATTGTCTTCCATGCTCTTAAACTGCAGTAGTAAATGATGGACACCTACCTTTCGGCCCATAAAGAGCAGCATAGCAGGGTTTGTGGCAGTAGGGCTTCCCATCATGCTAGAGAAAAGGAAAACCACACTGTGATGAGTCAGTCACAGGAAGAGAAACATGGCTGTTCATCACTTTACAGCTCGACTGTCAGAGGAGACAGAATCCTCTCTCGCTCTAGAGAAGCATCATTGGACTCCTGTAGTCTACCATATGTGAAATACTCTAGTGCTTGCGGAAATGAACAATATCAACAAAGAATTTTATTTTTTAGAAAAGAGGGACATACCTTTCCTTTTTAGACAAGCCGAACTAAGCTCCTTGAAGGCGCTTGCTGTGTTCTACACTACTGATCTGCAAACCTAAGCTCTAGCCGAGACAGTTTAAGAAACAAGAGATTATTACCCTATTATTGAGCACAATAATATTTATTTCAGCGAGAAACAAAGTGCAGAAACCAAGAAAATATGGTGTTGATTGTTTAACAGACCACATAGCACACAAATCCAAGATAAAGATAACACTGTATGTATTGCTTATACAATCGTGTCTGGACGTAAGCCGCTTATATTATCATGATTCACGATTTACTTCACTGAGAAGAATGGTAAAATCACAAGAATAATGATTTCAAGCAGGACACGGACTGGGAGGAGACAGAAAGATTTCCCTCCCTTCTCCTGTAATGGAGTGTAAGGTAGGATTTGTTACCTCTTAGTTGTAAAAATGAGGCACAGCTGATCTGAGAAATTTGCACTCAGAGACACTGAGTTACGCTACCATGTGAGAAAAAGGAGCTGTTGGGGAGGCTCTTTGGGGAATTAGTCACTCCCCTGAGCTTATAAGAATATATATGAGGATAAGGGTTTTAGTATGTTTTGGGGCTCTGTCCTGGGAAGAGGGAGCTCTAGGGAAGAGCTTTCATTAGAAAGATTATAGATCTATGGCTCTCAGTGCACTAAGGATACTTGAGAAAATATACATGCGTTTCAATGTAATCTGACCCATAATGCACCAGAAGTTGAAAAAGGGCACAACTAAGGTCACTCAGACAGGCCTGGGGTAGCAATTAACTGCTCATTTTTTCCTGCTTTACTCCATCTCCAAATATAACAGGCACAATTTCAGCAGTACCTTAAATGTGATTCTTTTACTCCTACTATGGAACAACTGGCCGGAACTTCTATTTTCCACTTTAATCCTGAAAACCTGTTTCTTGCCAAAATGTATCTACCACAACTAAATGAACACTGAACCCATTGTTGTCTATAATGGTACTGCCAAGACACTGGCACTTAATAGTAAAATGAATGTGCAGCTGCAATTGTGCATTGATAGGTAGTGTATAATTTAGGTCTTATTATAACTCTGATGGGTAGGCTGGTCCTGTTTGTTTAAAGGATATTTGGATTACTCATTTTATTTTCATATCCTCTTATATGTGCTCTTTATTTTCATATATACTATATTGTTATTTAGCATTTTCTAAATACATATTCTAGTAGAGATTTCTACTCACAAGCTAGCAGGAAAAGCACAAAAATAAACAGCAATATTTAAAATACAGGCCCTAACCAAATTATAATACTCTTTCAGTACACCAAGTCAAAACAGACCCAAAACATGGCGGGAGCTCTAGTTTTACATATTGAAAGTACAGGTTTAATAACAGATATTAAAAGAACCTGTCTCATTCTGATGAGGATCTTATTTCAACCAGGGAATGAATATACAACGCTAGCTAACAACATACATGCTAGCTGCGGTTCAAGAACAATTGTAGCAGGATCTGACACAAATAATTAATATTTTTGCAAAACATTAATCCTGAATTTTGCCAGATGTCTGTACGGTGGAACCCCTTTGTGCAGTTCTTCTTATATCAGTTGATAAGGATTTCCATCCAGGTAAGTTGTCCCCTTGGGGAGCAGTTGCCATCTGCCTCCACCATCCACCAGAATTTCTTTAGCGTTAGCTTTATCCTCATGGCTTGGCCCACATGTTATCCTCCACCACAGCTCCCACAGCTCTGGAGCATAAATGGAGCCAGTCCAGGGAGGCACCTGGCTGATTTTGGGCAGATCAGCAGGAAAGGATGCAGTGTATGTCTGCATATTCAGAGAAAAGGCAGCCTCTTAACGTATCTAAATATGAACTCTGTCAAATTACCCCATTTTGATTTCAGGCCACTGGAGTAAAGGTTCTTCTTTGCTGTGGATTTCCTCTGATTCAATTCCCATCAAAGAGCTTTTAAAATAATAGCTATTTTGTTGCTTTAACTGTGGTTAATAAATATTTACATTCCCATAATTCCGTGTGACTACTTGCTCTTAAAAGAATAAACCTCAAAGGATCCCATAGTAAGATGCACAGTTTTTGTATTGGTATTTATCTTTCTTTGATAAGTCTGCAATGAGCTGCACAGAAACCATAGAAACGTTCAATTTAAAAGTGCCTATTTAACAGAATATTATTCACAAAATTGTATTTTCTGCTGGGCTGTAACATGAAACGTAATGTTAAGAAAACGAAAAACAATAGCTACAAGCACTACATCATCTTGTAACCTAATCAGCTAACCTTTGTTTTGGTACAGCCTGGTATTTGCAGAAAGTTGTTATTTTTCAATCTTAAAGACTAAATTTAAGACTTGTGAGCTACTGTATGTGTGACACCTCTAAATTGCTCTGGGGTCTTCAGTTTGTTTCTACCTGGGGTTCTGCATGGAGTCCTGCAACCAAAGGAATGGTTAGCTTTGTTTTTTTTCTGGGTGCTTCAGTTTCTTTCCAAAGTCCAGAAACTAGCATTGCATCCAGGATGTGTCCTGCCTAGTGCCCATTGACTCCTAGTGCCTACTGGGGTCCAAAGGCTTCATTCTTGTGAAGACCTGTGAGTTCATGTTTCACTTCCATAAAAATTCAAATTACAACTGCCCATCTCTGCTCTTCTTTTCATTTCCTAATCAACAGGAATCCTAAGATGGGATTTATGTGCATTGCCTTGGCTTCCTTGCTGAGTGCTTGTCTTCTGTTTTTAAATCTTCAGTAATGAACACAAGCAAGGTTACAAACAAGAGAAGGTCATTTGGTCCATCTACAGTAGCTCATCTGCTAGTACAGTAGCTACTTGAAATTGTGAACATCCATCCCTTTATCTTTATTCTAACCACTTTATCTAATAGACTGTAGGGTGAATGGGGGAGCCGGAGCCTAAACTGACAAGCAACAGGTGCAAAGCAGGATACGCAGACAAATTTCAAAGTAAAGTCTTTCTCAAGGAAAAGATTAAGCTTTCACGGCATCGAATAAAATCATGGTAATGAGTGCGGCATTCTTGAACTAAAACAGGATGCAGTACCAGGACACTGTATTTTGTGCCAAACTTTCACTTTAACACAACTGCAAAGGAAAAAGAGGGGTAAGTTGCTTAATGGTAAGAGAAAAAGGAAGAATAATTTGAGCTGTTTTAAAAGGAAGACAGGCCAGGGCAGTGGTGACATTAACTAAAACACAAAACAGGCCGTATGACCAAATCCTCAACTCTTATAAACCTGTCAGTATGGCTCTGAAGACAAAGTGAAAGGGGCATTGCAGATGGCCTCTTTGAGAAAGATTAGAATATTAAAAAATACGTTCTGATGAGAGAAACATCACAAGATATTCCTCATGACACTTAACTTATAACCGTCATGCATTGTGTCACTATTATAAAGCACTCCAAGGGACAAAGAGAGCCCCGAATAGGTGCAAGGCTCTCTAGCATGTCAGAATCTGGTCTTTAAAGACTGGGAATTGTGTGGGCTGGGACATGGGAATTCCGGGATTACTCGTAAAACTTGCTTAACCTGAGATATCTGTTTCCACATGGGTCAGTGAGCAGTGAGACCCTAAGGATACATGTGCACAGAGTCTGCCTCTGTCTGATAAAGCAATTAGATCACAGCAATACAAGAAGGTACTATATAGCCCATTATTCACTTTGTGGGACAGTTGAGATCTTACATACAGTATATAAAAATATTACTGGCATTAACAGGCAGCAGTGCTATTCATCCCAAAGGATCCCATTCGTAGTAATTATCAACAAGAACTCAGTATCCTATTTTCTTTTTCAACTCGTCTCCAGATAAAGATGAACCTAAAGTTTAAACTCCTACTAACTCAGTAATGACAGACAGTAGTAAAAAACGCAGGAGACCAGTATCTTTGATTAACTGTCACAGTTGAGAGAACAGTATTATTGCTTTAAAATGCTTTAGTCTATATATTCCCAAGTATTGATCACCTATTTTAATAAGTTTATTTTCACTGTCCCTTTTAATTCAGTGTAGTACCTGTTTAGCACAAAGCCTGACAGATGTGGCTTATTTCATTTTGTGTTGCTTGGCAACAAGAGTATATGTTTTATCTTACATTGTTTTAAATAGTTTGGGAGTACATGTTCTAAAAAAAGTAGTTGCCTTGTCTGAAATGGAAGTACAATGATAAAGAGCTGTGAAGAGCACTCTCATACGACCTTTACTGCAGGACGTTGTCAGATAGGAAAAAAAAAACATAGTGGCAAGGCATTTAAGGGGCCTTTTACAGTATATGTTTGACCAAGGTGGGCCAAGGTCTTTAACAAGCCATTTTACCATTTTTCTTCACAAATGGTTAAAAGCAGGATTAAAGTGAAAATGTTTTCATATGAAATGCTTGTTTTTGGGTATCTTAAGGAACTAGATTGTTGTTTTCTGCTCAGGTATTGGACATCCGGAGAATTAGTATTGCTTCATTCAGACCACAAAATTCAAAATATGCTCACTGTATGAGCTGAGAGAATTTTAAACAAATTTTGTTTCATCAAGGAAGATTGTTCAGCAGACCAGATTCTTTTCCACCTTTACAAAAGCAGTTTCAATCAGTGCTTCACACTGATCAAAGACCCCTCATTTACAGTTCTTCACAATGTGTCATGGAAACTTGTTCCATGAATTGGTGGTTTTTCTGTTGTCAGCTACACTTCTATGGTCAAGACGAACATACTGTATGTGTTGACAGTGTTACCTCTAAGCAAGTTTTTTGGGGGTGTAATACAGTATTGATACAAAATCAAAATCTAACAACTTGTGCTCTAGCACTGATCTTGAGATGAACGAACAGCAGAAGTCAACTGATAAGACTCGACTGTTAAGACTGAAGAGATACTGTGTCCTCAGTTTGTTTGCATGCACCCAAAAGCTGCTGTATGAGACTTGCATTGTGGGATTTCTGTCTGTATTCTAAAGGTTATTAAATTCTGTACATGAGCACGGAAAAACACATTTGTTGTGTTGAATATTTTCAGAAAAATGTATGTGATATTTGAGCTGTGTAAGAGATACCACCATCCAATGGTGATTTGTGTTACCATTAAAGAGTAGTCTTGAATATATATCAGTTCTGAAATACATGCTCAAAAAGCAGCTCTAAAACTGACACTTATGGTAACTGAGTTAGATGTTTTAAAAATATATAACTGCTTCTGATCATCAATGTACACACCAGATAGGGAGAGACAACTTTATGTCTCTGTTCTCCACAGACCCCTTTTCATTACAGATTAAACCTCTTTTCAAACTTTCACGAAACAGTGCCGTAACGTCTTGTGTCCCTACAGCATCACAGATGAAGACAGCTGACAGCCCCTTGAGCTCTTATGGTTGATCTCTGCCAAGACGAACGGTCCAGACAGCAGCTAAGAGTACCTTTTCCCTGGTTGGCGCAGGAGGTTGTGTGCCTGCCAGGACTCACCTCAGCGTGTCCCCCAGCCGTCAGAGTCTTGTTGCAGCGCTCACACTTCAGGCAGAACTTGTGCCAGTCCTTCCCGAGAGACGTCACCTTCTCGGCTGTGGAAGGAGAGGGGAAAAATAATCAGGAAACACCCTCATAATAACGCCTTTTCTTCACACACTTCCAGATCCAGATCCAGATCCACTGCTCCATCACCATCACATGGTGGGGACTCATCATGTAAGTCTGAGCTGGGTACTAGATGCTTTTATATCACTATATATCTTTACCACTTCATCCAATAAAAGGTTGCAGGGTATCCAGAGCCTGTCTCAGCAAGCAACAGGTGCAAGGCAGGATACATTCTGGAGGGGACGCCAGTTCATCACAGCACGCACACCAGGGACGACAGTTCATCACAGCACGCACACCAGAAGCCAGTTAACCTTTCAGGATGTCTTTGAGCAGTAGGAGGAAACCAAAGCTCTAACCCATGCAAATACGAGGGGAACATGCAAACTCCACACATCTGGCACCCCAGGAACTGAACCCAGGGCCTCAGCACTAGTGCTAGCGCAGCAACGCTAACCACTGCACCACTGTGGAGCCCACACTATCAGTAAACTAAACACGTTTAAAACATTACGAAGTGATGAAATTATTGACCGCATCACCAGCGTGGAAGGCTTTTTGTGGAAAAGAATGTAATCGATTCGCCCATACAGTCTTGTCATACAGGACAATACAAGATGAGAGGATATGAGCAATGATGTGGTTAAAAAAAAACAACAGAAGCCGTAATTTAGATTGATATTGTATTTTTCACACTGAATGAGGAATGATGGCCGATGCTGAAGTGACTCAACGCTGGAGTGACTCAGAAAAAACAGAATGGAGCTATTTTTGCAAATTCTCTGTGATACAACAGATAACAGCCTCCGAGCTAAGGGTTAAAAACGCAAAATGTTGGAGCTCATTTCAGATGACCTGGAATGCATCGATAACATCCTGAAGCATCCTGAAATGTATAATTTTCCCCCTGCATTGTGTTTGATGTGGAATAAAACCTCCACTTTTTCCATCTGTTTCCAGGTTAACAGCAATCCTGCCTGATATAAATGCAGGGTAGCCTTTGTCAATTCCCTTTCCAGTGTTAAAGTTCCATATGAAAGAAGGGATGTGAAACGCATATGAACTTCCCACTTGAACCTGCATTTTTTCATATTCCTGTCACGTAGCCAGCATGCCTAAGAAACCTCTCTACTACTGTCCTGCACAATGCTGAAATCTGAAACTCCATGGTGCATTATTTCTTTTCACATCAGATTGAATTCATACATGAAGAGAAAAAAAAATGATTGCATTCATTTTTAAGTCCTTCCCAGGATTACGGAGGTCTGAGAAATTGTTTGGAAGAATCCAATTAGACAAACTGCACTTGACAGCTTGTCTTACTATCAGCGAGGAAGGTAAAACACACGCCCCTGGAGTTACGCTCCAATGAAAATGAAGTTGTTGCCTTTCACAGAGTACAGGGGGAAAATACAGGAATCCAGGGAATGCAATGTTGTCGGAGGACCACAGCTCTAATCCCTGGGCAGGAGATGTGTGGAAAAGGACCATCAATCATCCCAAATAATAGCATCTGAGCAGAGCTGCCTGGTGGTGTAAACAGAAAGGGCCCTTTGTGTGGCTTGTAAAATAATACTCCTTCCTTTGGGTTTACAACAGAAAACAGTCAGCAGTTTGAAGAAATGACCTTTGGTGAGATGTTTATTAGGGTTATCAAATAGCAGTGGGGTGAACTGGGTGTCTCTGTAGTCCAGGGATTCTAAACACTATATCCATGATATACATGTAAATGTAAAGTAAGAAAACAATGATTTCCCTTCAAGTCCCTCTTTCCCATTCGGTACGTGACTCCCTGAATGTTTAAAAACGGGTTGTGGCCACCTGTTACTGACATTATAAAGAATCCAGCAGGCCCTCCAAGGGTTGGGTCTCTAGTCTCCTGTTAGACTTCATCAGAAGGTTATGAGGAATGTGATTACGAAATACCTCTGGGAACGTCTCTACAGGAAGGAGTAAAGGAGCAGCAATTAGTAATGGTATGCCTACTGCAATCAGGCATTCCATTAAAATCCTTTTTGCTGGAAATGATACCAGATAAAAATAATTTGATCCTTGTACATACTGTATTTTCTACAGGATCGCTCCTTCATTCATCTAAAGAAAATTACAGGATACACCACCATCCCAGTCCATTCATTTTTTATTGAAGATGTCTGTAATTGTCACGAAAAACCTTCTTAGAGTAGCATAGCTAATTCCATGCATCTTAAGACAATCAATAAATGATATGTAGTTGGAGGCCTGTTCTTTAGTTCCAACATAATGATTACAATTACAGTAAATGCAACAAGCTTTCCCCAAAGTAGTTTGTTTGAAGTTCATGCTCCATGTTACTGACCTAAACCTAAACTTGATCTTTAAAAGGGTCATAGCCAACTGCATTCTCATTTTTTCTTTTGAAGACACGTCCTTGTAAGGCAAGAAACAAAAACAAGTTTGCCGTCTCAGACTTGAATCCTGAGAATCAACCTCAAACATTCGGGTTCTGGGAGAGGATAGAAGCCAACAGACAGCCACAGAGTTTGGGAAAAAAGATCTGGACTTCTGCATCTGTGCTGGAAGTCTGCTGCCACTACAAAGTAAGGCCTACACACAGATAAACGAAAGAGTTGAAACACCCATCCTGGCTGAAGCTAGGCTCTTGTCGGACAAAGGTAGGAAATTCTCACCCACAGCTGGAGAGAGCAAGTTAACAGTTTCAGCCCTTTTACACAGTCGTGTCACCTGGCTGAGGTCAACAGACACATTTAAATCCCCAGTCAAGAGTCCTTCTAAATATACCACCACACTTAACAATAGCAGCCAAAGGTCCCATGGGGCTTCTCTCAGGAAACACCTTTTCGTTATCTGAGGGGATCCAAATGGGAGGACTTCAGTGTTGACTTCCTCAACGTGGACAGCTGTAAAATCAGCATGAGGGAAAACTTCCTGTCATTCTCCAGCTGGAGTTCTGTGGTGGTTAATTCTGGATAGGTCTCAGAATGGGCGATTGTGAACATAGAAGCTAATTGGTCAGGAGATGGGAGGTAATTCAATCAGACTCAATGGTAGAATAATGGTCCTGTTAAAATAAGGCCTTATCTCTTTTAGAGATGAGATTGTATTGCAATCACCTCTTAGGAAAATGTATCCTGACTGGATCAATATCCAGTGTGTGCAGTTTCCTCATCTACAGTTATCGCTCAGCTACCTTGATTCTGTGCTCCAGCAATTCTCCTGCTGGGAAGGTTATAAATAAATCCAAGACTCTGGACTGATTTCACTTTTCAAAGTTCTAGAGAGTTTATCAATTTTCACAGTATCCCCTATATCTAGCTTAACATTACCCTTTTGTCAGTAGTTTGTCAAAAGTTTGTAATATGAAGTTACAAAAATTCTGCTTTCAATGTGCAAGATAACTAGGTTTTTTAAATATATTATTTTCCATGGCTGAGTGACACTACAACTATTTTGGAAAGTGATGTTAATTTTCCAGCCTCCCTATTTGGAATTAACTCTTGTTCAAACTTCTCAGACCGCTTATTAAATCTCGGTAACAAAATAAATTGATTCACGTTCTAGAAAAAGTTGACAAATTTCAAATTAAGGACAAAATTGTGAACTTTGTAAAAGTACCGTAAGTTGACATTGTGACATGATCCAGCTCTTCCTGCTCACTAGTCACTGTAATGACTAGTGTACGGCTACGTATGAGTGAATAAGTACAGGTTGTGCAGCAGACATTTCACTGCAGAAATGTTCCAACGTGATCTGCAGGCAGAGTTAACAAGTAAGTAGTACTTGTCAACAAGTTCTATTGTATTAAAAGAGATAAGCCTGCTTGTTTACAATCTAATAGGAACACAACGCATTATCAGACGTTTTTTTTGCGTGGTTCTGCATCACAAAATATGGCGCTGTGCCTATCTGCAAATTCATCTATTTTGTGATGTAAATTGGAGGTTTTTGATGTTGGAGGTTGCTGTGTACATTTTACTTTTAGTGTGGTTTGAAAGGCACTCCTCAATGCTGATTCTTTCTCACCCAGAAATATACAAATAGCATTGCAGTTGCCCATTTATATACTGTCCACAGTGCTACAGCCCTCACACCAGCGCAAGGCATCATGAGGTACACAGTACACTTCTGAATGTGCACAGAGTCCTGCCACACAGGCGCATCAGCATCAAATGGAGGAAGGATGCAGCTCTGACTGTCAACACCTTGTTCTCATAGGAAGTAACCAGAGGACATTTAAGTCCACATGGCACTGGAGTTGTTTGAATAGATAAGACAAGATAAGATCACTTTATTAGCCAAATACAATTTCTTGCATTAGGAATTTGTCTTTTTGCATACTCCAGCTTGCTCTCTATGAGACAGACAGACAGACAGACAGACAGACAGACAGACAGACAGACAGACAGACACACAGACACACAGACACACAGACAGGGAGAGAAGCTTGGGGTCAGAGCGCAGGGTCAGCCATTTATACGGCACCCCTGGAGCAGTTGGGGTTAAGGGCCTTTGCTCAGGGGCCCAACGGAGTAGGATTTCTCTGCGTTTGGGGAGACTGCAGTCTGGAACAACAAGGCCCAGGATAGAGCAAAGTAAGGTGGGGATTGCGGCTAGCAAGCTAAATCAGTAACTTCACTGGTTGAGCCACGCAGAAGCCCTCATGATTTTACTTTTGAAAAAGAGGTAGCAGTGGAATGTGAAGAAGAAGAAGGGGTATAGGCTTCTACAGTCAAGCAGAAGAACCAGAGAAAGGTCACTGATTGTAATTTTCTTTAAAAAACTGGAATTCTGGTTTCTCATGCCTCATCCTTCCAACAAGGAAAAGCATGTCCAAACTGCATACTGCTTAAAAAGCAATCTAACTACAGAGAAAGCAAAATTAATGCCTTTCCATTCTGGTGCAACAAGACCTGTAATACAAAAACCAGATACCGCCATCCTGAGCAGAATTGAAGGCATCAAGTAACAGCTCAAAATGCAGAGG